TTCTCACCTGTAAAATGGAGCTCCTTAGACTTCAACCCTCACCAGCAATAGTGAGCCCAGCAACACATCGTCACAGGACCTTACATCAGCAGTAGCAAATCAAATCTATCAGAAGGATTATTTCACAGCCCCCACCCTGATCACATACAGACAAGGGGCTGATCACAACTCATTTGTAACAAATGGTTGTCACTATCGCAGGACCACCTTCACCTAATCCTTGTTGAGAGCCCTTCTTCTCAAGGGAACCCCAAATCAGCTATAATCAGGCAGAGACTTAGAGCCAATACCAAGACACTGTCTTCCTTTCCTCCTTTCCTGGTTCTAATTCCTTCTACCTCCCTTGTCTGCCCACCCCCCATATTTACCAAGTTCTCATCAAGGACTAATTTATACTGGTTTGAGAGCTTTCAGGGGCAACTGTGTCTTCTATCAGCAGCACTAGAAAGTAATCCTATCCTGAGACGTCACACTGAGAGAGGAAATGAAGGGAACTGGCCCAGCAGGGCACACACTCCTGGCTGCCACACTCAACAGGGAAAAGGAATTTTCTATTTGGAGTCAGAGCTCTTTGCTGAGATCTCCCCTAGATCTTTCCTGAGATTGGTGTGCTTTAAATTAATATCGTGTAGCTAATGTACTGAATAACAGAACCTGGATTCAAAGAATGAGAGAGAGAATCTAACAAGACAACATTTAACCCAGAAAAATAGAAGCTTCTGTACTTGGGTTAAAATGGACTTATAGAAGTGCGTTAACAGGGATGTATGAAACAGATCTGGGGTGGGGGAGTCTCAGTTGACTGCAACTTAAACTGGATTCAACTGTAACCCTGTCAAGGTAGTTCAGTTGGTTAGAGCATTATTTAGCTACACCAAGGTTGCTGGTTCGATCCCCAGGGCACAAACAAGAATAAACCAATGAATGCATCAATGGGTGACAAATCAATGTTTTTTTTTTCTCTCTCTTTCTCAAATCAGTAAAATAAAAAAGTCCCTAAATCAGTTATGCAATTTGGTTTTTTTTAAACATATTTTTATTGATTTCAGAGAGTGGAAGAGAGAGAGAGAAACATTGATGATTAGAGAGAATCACTGATCAGCTGCCTCCTGCAAACCCACTACTGGGGATCAAGCCTGAAACCTGGGCATGTGCCCTGACAGGGAATTGAACTGTAACCTCCTAGTTCATGGGTCGTCACTCAACCACTGAGCCACACCAGCCGGGCGATGCAATTGGTTCTTTGAAAAAACACACACAATTGGATTCAACTGTGATATGGCATCCACAGTATCTGCTATGATCTTAGGATGCATGTATAGACATATAGTGGCTATTCTAGAATGAAGGATGTGATAAGATCATTCCATTCTACACTAGTCAGAATATTTAGTATTTTCAGAGAAATTTACAAATTCAGGAGTATATAGGATGGTGAGTGACTTTGAAAAGATATATCGCATCAGAAAAAGATGAAATAAGAGAGGAGGTTTTTTGTAAGAACATAATTGTTTAAGGATTAAATGAGATAACATATTGAAAGTGCTTTGTAGAATGCCCAATGCAACTGATCAATTAATGTTAATAAAAGAATGATAATTAGTAGTGTTAATAGCACTATGTCATACTATTATTATTATTACTATCATAGTTAATGCTTATAGAGTGCTTTCTATATGCTAGGTACTCTTCCAGGCCCTTCACATATACTGACTCATTCCTCTTACCAATCCTATAAGGTAGGAACTATTATGATATCTCCAAGTTTGAAGATGAGGAAGTTGAGTCACAGGTCAAGTAGATTGTTTTACAGATGGGCAGGGGAAAGAACCAGAACATTGACTCTGGCGTGTCAGGCTATCAAGGGTAAGAGGCACTTTTGTATTTTATACTTGTACCTTCCAGAGGGCAGAACCAGGATCAATTCAATGTGTGTAAACTATTGGGAAGAAGATTTCAGCACAACAACATCAAAAACCCATTCTGGACAGAAGCTCTCCCACTGCAGACACAGCGGATTCTCATAGCCAGTTAGCCTGGAGGTCAAATCACCCCCGGTATTGCCGACAACAATCAAGGCTTAACTACAAGACTGCACACAAAGACCACTAGGGGGTGGACCAAGAAAGCATAAAAAATGCGAAGACAAAGAAACAGGACAAAACTGTCAATGGAGGATATTGAGTTCAGAACCACACTTTTAAGGTCTCTTAAGAACTGTCTAGAAGCTGCCGATAAATGTAGTGAGATCCTCAAGAAAACTAATGAGACCCTCGATGTTATGATAAAGAACCAACAAGAAATTAAGCATACACGGACTGAAATAACGAATACTATACAGACTCCCAACAGCAGACCAGAGGAGCGCAAGAATCAAGGCAAAGATTTGAAATGCGAAGAAGCAAAAAACACCCAACCAGAAAAGCAAAATGAAAAAAGATTCCGAAAATACGAAGATAGTGTAAGGAGCTTCTGGGACAACTTCAAGTGTACCAACATCAGAATTGTAGGGGTGCCAGAAGATGAGAGAGAGCAAGATATTGAAAACCTATTTGAAGAAATAATGACAGAACACTTCCCCCACCTGGTGAAAGAAATAGACTTACAGGTCCAGGAAGCGCAGAGAACCCCAAACAAAAGGAATCCAAAGAGGACCACACCAAGACACATCATAATTAAAATGCCAAGAGCAAAAGACAAAGAGAGAATCTTAAAAGCAGCAAGAGAAAGAAACTCAGTTACCTAGAAGGGAATACCCATACGACTGTCAGCTGATTTCTCAACAGAAACTTTGCAGGCCAGAAGGGAATGGCAAGAAATATTCAAAGTGATGAATACCAAGAACCTACAACCAAGATTACTTTATCCAGCAAAGCTATCATTCAGAACTGAAGGTCAGATAAAGAGCTTCACAGATAAGGAAAAGATAAAGGAGTTCATCACCACCAAACCAGTATTATATGAAATGCCGAAAGGTATCCTTTAAGAAGAGTAAGAAGAAGAAAAAGGTAAAGATACAAATTATGAACAACAAACATGCATCTATCAACAAGTGACTCTAAGAATCAAGTGAATAAATAATCTGGTGATCATAATAGAATCAGAGACATAGAAAGGGAATGGACTGACTATTCTTGGGGGGGAAAGGGGTGTGGGAGATGCGGGAAGAGACTGGACAAAAATCGTGCACCTATGGATGAGGACAGTGGGTGGGGAGTGAGGGCGGAGGGTGGGGCGGGAACTGGGAGGAGGGGAGTTCTGGGGGGAAAAAAGAGGAACAAATGTAATAATCTGAACAATAAAGATTTAATTAAAAAAAAAAACAAACCCATTCTGAATTATTAGAATTGTCTGAACTTTCAATAGGGGGTCTTTTAATGTAATGAGTTCTCCATCACAGGATGTAAGGAAAAAAGGATAGAAATAAAGAAATGAATGAAATGGGGCTCCTCTTGTAAAGAAACCATACATATGCCGAAACCGGTTTGGCTCAGTGGATAGAGCGTCGGCCTGCGGACTGGAAGGTCCCAGGTTCGATTCCGGTCAGGGGCATGTACCTGGGTTGCGGGCACATCCCCAGTGGGAGATGTGCAGGAGGCAGCTGATCGATGTTTCTCTCTCATCGATGTTTCTGACTTTCTATCTCTCTCCCTTCCTCTCTGTGAAAAATCAATAAAATATATTTAAAAAAAAAAAAAAAAAAAAAAAAAAAAAAAAAGAAACCATACATATGATGAGCCAAGCCTTGGTGAAAAAAATAAACAAGGTATAGTGCAGTGCAACTTTATGGAAAATATATAAAGGTGAACTAATATCTGTCTTTCTGCTATCTCAGCCCAGAGTAAATTAAATGTTGGACAAAAAGTTACAAAATGGAAAATTTCACGTATGAATTTGTTAGGAAACGTACTAGATGGTCACACTGGATTTGAGAGAAGCAATCCCAAGATCTTCACAGATCTGATTGCCACCTACCCTGAAAGTATAAAATTCAGAGAAGAGAGGTATAGTCTGCTCTCTGGAAGAAAGGGCATCTGCATGAGAAAGTAGCATCCAGGCATGGGGGTGAAGATCATAAAACCCAATTTGATCCCAAAATACAGACTTATAGTGACAATTGAGTATGTTAGCATGATTTTAATCCCACTAGTCAGTGTGTGGTCAACAGAATTACTGCACAGTTTAATATGAATGTGCTCTGTGCTGAATCTATCTTTTTGGGTCTAGCAGTCCCACAACCCAAATACTTGCTAATTTAATGAATTAATATAAACTTCCTCAACCAGCAACACCGAGAGATGGCTAGTAAGGATCTGAGTTCCAGCAAAATCTCTTGCTTCTATTATGAAAAATGACTGAATAGTATATATATAGTTATGTTATTTACATTAATATATATAAACACACACACACACACACACATAAATACTAGTATATATGTAATGTCATATTCTTCACCAAAAATGTTCCCATTTCAGATAAGTTTTCAGACTATTTGTACTTGGACAAATACATATTTTGATTTATGAAATTCAAAGTATTCAGTCTTTTTAGAATTACATACTTTACAAACTTAATTCTTTCTAGACTTCTAGAACTGAATGATAACCAAATTGGACTAGAGTTTCTATTTGTGATATAGGTATGGTGGCTCACAAAAAAATAAAATTCTTAAGCAATGGAAAAATGAAAGGTTATCTTTCGTGAAAGTGACAAGAGATGCAAACCATGTTGACAGAGCCTACATGGACATGATAGAGTTATGGGTGTGGATTTAAACTGGGAGAGGTGACATATGGTATTGATTCATTAAGGAGAAATAGTCAAATTTCAGTGCAGGATCTGGAGTGTAGGGGAAATAATGGGCCTTGGTGACTGATGACGTGAGAAAGGGGGAGAGGTGGGTATCAGGGGAAGCTGCTGAGAGGAAGAGTCAATAACCCCCAAGACTGGATACTGACTGTCCCTGGTAACCAGAAAAAAAGGCAAATATAAACAAAGAGAGGTGAGTGACGATGCCTAGTGCATTGGGGATCTGGAAACACTGGCAGAGCTGCAGCACCGCCGTGGGTCAAAGTGGTAACTGGGGATCTGAGCTCGGCGGTGACGCGCGGCCCTCACGTGACCAGGAGCCTATGTCTGCCCAAGTCCCTCTCATCCTGGTCCTTTTTGCCAGTCCAGACACCGTCTGCCCTTTGGTCGAGGGGAAAAGCAGAAGGAAGGAAGTCCCCGAGGTCCTCTGAAATCGGTGTGAGTGTCAGTGCTGCCCAGTAGTCCCAGGGATCAGGATGGCAGAGAGTCCAAGCCTTTCCCTGTGCCAGCCCCGCGCCAGCACTTCGGTGCAGAAAATGGTGGTTTTGGGGGTGGGGAGGTGAGTGGACCAACCCTGAGAGGGAGCCACAGACACTTAGATACAGTTTCTAAATAATCCTTAGCTTCCACATCCCGCCTTAAAAGAAATGACGAGCACCGAAGGGTGGGGGTGGGGGGCACGAAGGACAAAGCTTGAGGTGAAGGGAGACATGGAGGGAGGTGGGGGTGCCTGGCTGACGGGGAAGCAGAGCCGCTGGCGCGGGGTGGGCGGCTGGTGCCCAGAAAGGGGCGCGAGTGTCAGTCCTTCCTCCCTACCCTCTCCCTTACCCCTACCCTGTCTGGCGTCCGTCTGCAGGTCTGCAGGTCACGGCGGAGAGAACGCCTGGGAGCAAACGGCCGGGAGAGGTCCGGGTCCAGGAGGGGTGGGCAGGGGCCGCGGAGGGGTGCGAGGGAGGCCGCCGGTGGGAACCGAGTCGCGGCGGCGTTCCCGCCCCGCCCCTGCCGCTGCGGGAGAGGCCCGGGGCAAGGCCTGCTGGGAAAATGGTGGGCTTTCGGGAAGGAGGGGGGCGACCTGGGCGGGGTCCCGGGGATCACGGCCTCTCGGCCTGAGTAGGTGGGAGGACCTGTCCCCGAATCAGGAAAAGGCAGCTTTGAGAACTCGGGGCCGGGGTTTTGGTCCCGCCACCAAATATGCTGACTCGGACTGTCTTGCTTGTCTCTTCTGAATGACTGTGCTCACGAAGGCCGTTCCCAACATGGACAGATCCTGCCAAGCAAATGAGCAGCCACAGGGTTTGCCCGAGACGGACGAGGAGCAGCCTCGGGCAGAGCCCTCGCCCGAAGAGCCTCGTCGGGAGGAGCCTTGTCGGGAGGAGCCTCGTCCGGAGGAGCCTTGTCCGGAGGAGCCTCGTCCGGAGGAGCCTTGTCCGGAGGAGCCTTGTCCGGAGGAGCTTTCTACCGAGGAGCTGTCTTCGGAAGAGCAATCCTCCGAGGACGAGTTCTTTCCCGAGGAGCTCCTTCCCGAGCTCCTTCCCGAGCTGCTGATGTCCGAGGGGCGCCCCCTAGAGGAGCGCCTTTCCGGGCCGGACCTGTTCGAGGCGCGCCCTCCCATGGAGCAGCCTCCTTGCGGAGTGGGAAAACATAAGCTGGAAGAAGGAAGCTTTAAGGAAAGGCTGGCTCGCTCTCGCCCACAGTTTAAAGGGGACATACACGGCAGAAATTTGAGCAACGAGGAGATGATAAAGGTAGCAGAGGAGATGGAAGAGATGAAAAGAGTACGAAACAAATTGATGATCATGCACTGGAAGGCGAGACGGAACCGTCCTTATCCTAGTTAATGTGCCCGGCTTTTAATGCTGGTTTGCCTAATTTCAGTATTGCCACTCGAATCCCTCTCGCCATCTTCTTAATTTTAACTTTTTTTTGCATGGCTTTATTTAAGGTGTTTCGCTTGTAACTGGTGTAAAATTGGGCTTCCTTCCCCTCCCATCTGCAAGACTCCCTATCAATCATGTGTCTCATCCATATGCATGGAAAGATGGACATTATATATTGTGAAGTGAAAAAAGCATTTTTCAAAAAGTATATGTAGTATCCCATTTTTGTAAAAAAATGTATATTTATATATTAATATGCAAAGTAAAACAAAGTATATACTTCAAAGGCTTAACAGTGACTGTTTTTGTGGTAAGATAATAGGTGTTTGTTTTACATTTTTGCTTTGTTGGAACTTCTCATTTTTTCAGGACGAACACATTTTACTTGTGTTGCAAAAAATTCCACACCCCAAAATAATGGGGAGAATGTCAAGCAATTTATACACTATCACCTTATAAAGACAATGTAGCACTTAATAAATACTTGTCAGAACTTTGAAAAAGTAAATCCCATGTTTCTTCTGAATCTCAGGCAGAAATATATATTTAAGGGTCAATCTTTTCCCATTTAAATAGAAGTAATACTTGACTCACAGGGCTGCTGTGGAACCAAATGAGGTAAAAATCATGTGAGCTGTGTGTTTTTCCCCACCTGCAACATTCAGGACCCCAACCCCTAGAGCAAGCATGTCAAACTCAAGGCCAGGAAGGAGGGCTCATTTGCACTCACAATTCCTCTGAGATTCCAGGTGAATGCCACATTTTATTCCTGCCCTGCTATTCTCTTCCTGTGGATACTGTCATATCTGCTAGGCACAGTTGTCCTTCTCTTGGGTCCTGCTCCTTCCATGACCCCCACCCATCACTAGGTGCAAAGTCTCACTAATCGCTCTGGAGTCCCTACTGAGCCAAAGCTGAACTGTGTCTCCTACAAATATTCAGTGAATGCCCCTCCTCCAGCTTTAATATTATACTTTCCCTGGTGGATACCATCCCAGTGCTGCTTAAACCTCAATGTCTTAAAGAACACTTAGCAAAATAGTCCTATTTTTTTTCTGAAAGCTTCCCTTTTCTCCATTGGACTCAAACATGAGTTCATTGTGAAAGGGCGAGTCATCACGGGGCCTACACGGGGCCTACGTGGGCCGGCCGCCAGGCCCCATGAGGCACAGCCTGACCACGCTGCTGGTGGCCTCGGGCACCGACTCCCCAGCCCACGGCGGGAGCCGCCACCTGCCTGCCGCCCCCAGACAGGACCCGCGCGGCAGCGGTGGCGGGGCGGGGCGCGTGCCCTCGCCCGAGGAGATGGAGGAGGAGGTGATCGCCGGCGCCCCCGGGGACGAGAGGGAGGACGTGGACTTCCTGTCTGGGCTGGAACTGGTCGATCTGCTGGACCCCCGGCAACCGGACTGGCCCCTGGAGCCCGGGCGAGGACTGCGCCCTCCATCTTGCCCTGGGTCCTCCATTTTTGGGCAGAGCCATGTGCTCGGAGGGGGCTTCTTCCTGGAGGCCCAGGCCCCTGCTGGCCACGCCCAGGATTTCTCTGGACTAACCAATGATAATCAAGAGAAGTGCACGCCATCAATATGACTACATCCTGTGTAACAAGACCCGACTCGCGCCTGGCCAATCGGCAGGGCCCACAGTCCCCTCTCCTGCCCTTACTCCACCCTCCTATAACCCCCCCCCCCCCCCCCCCCCCCCGTCCCATCAGGCTTCGCTCTCTCTCGGCCACTGGGCTCACCATTGCATCGGTGAGTGTGGTCAGGGAGCCGAACTAGTTCGAAATGAGGGACTCTTTGCTTTTGCATCGGACTCGCTGGCTCCCTGGTGGGCTTTTTGGGAACCTTGAAACCTGGGCACAACAATTGGATCCTGGCTAGGAAGCAAACTTGTGAGCCAGACACAATGATGTGTACTTGGAATTGAAACCTCCCTCCCAAATAATCTCCAACGATTTTGGTTTTAATTGCTTAATACTTACTTTAGGCTGAGCTCTCTCTGGCAGACTTGCCTTAACAATTCAGCTGACTTGCTCAACTTGTTTACACTAAAGAGGAAAGTAAGGCCCAAGCTTGGACTTTTCCTTTCTACCCCACCCATATCAACTATCAACAAAAGTGCTTTATAAGTTGTTAAAATTATATATATATATATATATATATATATATATATATATATATATTTAACGTAAAAAAGAATTCAGACCTGTAAAGAATTTTTGTGAATTTATTTGAGCCAAACTGTCGACATATGCTGGGAAGCAGAACCTCAATGAATTGAGATAATGCTCCGGAGAATGGAGGGTTACATCTGTATTTATACATTGCAATCAAAGGAAAGGGACTTAGGTGAGTTACATGAAATTCATTGGTGATAGATTAAGGAGGTGGGATAAAGCAAAGCAGGGAAACCTCTGGGATAGGGTAAAAAGTGAAATGATGGACATATGCTTCTTTCACACAGATGGATACAGGATAGTTTTACAAAGTTAACAGTTGATAACAATAACAATGAGGGAATGTCCTGGTGCCATTTGTTGTGCCCTGAGGGGTCCAGAAAAAAAGGAAGTTACAAGTTACCCAGACATCTCCCAGATATGTTATCTTAGAGGCAAAAAGACAGAGGCTCAGTTAAGGTAAAGGTTGACCTTGTTCAGGGAGATATCAGCCTAGGAGGTAACTACCCACCATAACTGCTTTTAGTTAGTTTAATTTCAGACCATTCTTTGTGGTTATTTTAGGTCTCTGAGTTTGCAAGACTGCCACGCAGGCCTCCCCTGAGCTTGTCAGGTTAGCATGTAGCCCCTTTCGTCCACTATATATATATATACTAGGGGCCAGGTGCACGAAATTCGTGCACTGGGTGTGGGGCGGGGGGAGTGTCCCTCAGCCCAGCCTGCCCCCTCTCACATACTGGGAGCCCTCCAATCACCCTCCAATCGCAGGATCGGCCCCTTGCGTTGACCCCCATCACCCTCCAATCGCAGGATCGGCCCCTTGCCCAGGCCTGACGCCTCTGACAGAGGCGTCAGGCCTGGGCAGGGGACCCTCATTTCCCCCCATCACTGGTTCTGCCCCCAGTCCAGGCCTTATGCCTCTGGCCCAGGAGTCAGGCCTGGGCAGGGGACCCCCAGACCCCTCCGATTGCTGGCTCTGCCCCTTGCCCAGGCCTGATGCCTCGGCCAGAGGCGTAGACCCCCATCACCCTCCGATCGCCTGATCGGCCCGTTGCCCAGGCCTGACGCCTCTGCCAGAGGTGTCAGGCTTGGACAGGGGACCCCCATCTCCCCCCGATCACTGGCTCTGGCCCCCGCCCAGGCCTGAGGCCTCTGGCCCAGGAATCATGCCTGGGCAGGGACCCCCATCTCCCTCTGATCGCTTGCTCCACCCCCTGCCCAAGCCTGATGCCTCTGACCCAGGCTTCAGGCCTGGGCAAGGGGACCATCATATCCCCCCAATCCCCGGCTCCGCCCCCGGCCCAGGCCTGATGCCTCGGCCAGAGAAGTTGACCCTCATCGCCCTCCGATCACTAATCACCGGATCGGCCCCTTGACCAGGCCTGAGGCCTCCAGCAGAGGTGTCAGGCCTGGGCAGGGGACCCCCAGCTCCCCGAGGTTGCAGGCTCCGCCCCTGCCCAGGCCTAATGCCTCTGGCCTAGGCGTCCAGCCCGGGCAGTGGGGACCCGCAGCTGCAGCGGCCCCGCGATCGTGGGCTCCGCTTTAGGCCCAGGCAAGGGACCCCTAGCTCCCGGGACTGCCAGCTTCGACTGTGCCCAGCTCCCATCGCTGGCTCCACCCCTACTTTCTGCTATCACTGGCCAGGGCGGCAAAGGCGCCTGATTCTCCGATCATGGCTGGGGGGCAGGGCAAAGGCAGCCCTGCCCCCCAGCTCTTAGCTCCCCGCTGGGTTTCCGATCACTGTCAGTGGCAGGGGGCTTCTTCCTGCTTTCCCTTTCGCCTCCCTGCATTGTGCCTACATATGCAAATTAACCGCCATCTTGTTGGCAGTTAACTGCCAATCTTAGTTGGCAGTTAACTGCCAATCTTAGTTGGCAGTTAACTGCCAATCTTAGTTGGCAGTTAATTTGCATATAGCCCTGATTAGCCAATGAAAAGGGTAGCGCCGTATGCCAATTACCATTTTTCTCTTTTATTAGTGTAGATATATATATATGTATATATGTATCAGATATTATTTTTCCTCTGTTAAACTACGTTTATAAAACCTGTGATTTTGTTCTATTAATCTTGTTCATTCTAGTCACACAGATGGTGGTTAATAATTCCTTAAAAGTATGACTCGGGCCCGGCCAGCATGGCTCATTGGTTGAGCAAGCGTCCACTGGGCCTATGAACTGGAAGGTCAGGGTTCAATTCCCTGTCAGGGCACATGCCCAGGTTGTGGGCTCGATCCCTGGTGTGGGACGTGCAGGAGGCAGCTGATCAATGATTCTCTCTCATCATTGATGTTTCTATCCCTCTCTCTCTCCCTTTGTCTCTGAAATCAATAAAAATATGTTTTTTAAAAAGTATGAGTCATGAACCCTAATTTCTGTTTGACTAATAAGCTTCCATGAGTGTTAACTTCTCCAGAAGGTATACTTTGCAGTTTCAAAAGGATCACAGTGGGGTGGAGGGATTGTTTTCCCTGATTTAACATTAAAATTGGTTATATATTCTATATATCAGTGTTTCCCTTATTAAAAATTCAGAGACCTGGGCTCTACCCCAGACCCACTAAATCTGCTTTTCTGTAAATTTGCACACAAATTACAGAGCCACTGCTGTATACAATATACTCCTGATTTTTTAAAAAAAATGTTTTTATTGATTTTATAGAGAGAAGGGGAAGGAAGAGGGAAAGATAGAAACATCAATGAGTGAGAAACATCAATTGGCTGCCCCTGCATGCCCCCTCCTAGGGATGGAGCCCGAAACTCAGGCATATGCCCTGACCAGGAATTGAATCGATGACCTCTTGGTTCATGGGTTGATGCTCAACCACTGAGCAACACCAGCTGGGCAATATACTCCTGATTTTAGTATAATAAACTATGACATAAATAGAAGAAAATACATATGACTGTATCAAAATTAAAAGGGTGAAAATCTTGTTCAAGCACATTTTAATTTTTATTATTTATTTTTTTAATATATTTTTATTGATTTCAGAGAGGAAGAGAGAAGGAGAGAGAGATAGAAACATCAATGATGAGAGAGAATCATTGATTGGCTGCCTCCTCCATACCCCCTACTGGAATCGAGTCTGCAGCCCGGGTATGTGCCCTTGACTGGAATCAATCCTGGGACCCTTCAGTCTACAGGCTGATGCTCTATCCACTGAGCCAAACCAGCTAGAGCAAGCATATTTTTAAAGAAATGAAAAAACCTCATCAATTTTACTACATAAAATTGAGACTCCTTGCAACAAAATAAGACCAAAAAGCTAACAGAGATGACAAAATA